CTGTAATCCAGCTTCATCTTGCTCTCATCCAGCACCCCAATGCGAACAAGTCGTCTTAGCAGAGTATTGTCTTAAAAAAAAGACGTCATGGTTCCTTTTAGTCCAGCATCAGTAGCTCAAGGGCAGCCTTGCAGAGCTAGGCCAGGGTCAATTTGATCCTCCACTCCTCACGTTTGTTCCGGAGCCCATAGCCCATGCTCTCCCATCAGCATCAGCTCCTGGTTGAGACGCGATTTCTCGAAGGGTCTCCTGGGGTCACCTAGGTTTTGCAACAAATCCAGTCTCAGACAACCGGCATATTGACTTCTCTAGGACGGCTGCGCCTATGACCTCACACCGGAGACAAAGACTGAAAAATCAACTATTTTATTCATATAAATGCATATGTATATGCATACACAGAAAGGAAACATAATCTGAGAGTGTTCTATAGAACTCTGGTTTTTAAAGCAAGAGGACACACTTTTGCATGTTTTAAATATGTCTTGGTCAGACTGTCTGAATTTTGGTTTTGATTATAATAAAGTATTATTGCTACTACTTAGATGCTGTGATAGCTAGTTTTGGTGTTTCAGAAGAGAATAATAGAGTAAGTTTGCAGCCTGTTAAGGAGAGTGATGGAATTTGTGTTTCCTCTGGAAAGAGCAAGATCATTTTAAGTCCTCTTTATAGCCTCCACAATAGAAAAGCAATTGATAAGTTAGTTTATAAAGTTTCTATACAGCATGTTAGGTACACAGGAAAAATAAAAACAAACCAGAGGATGAGATAGAATGAGTAGGACCTTTGAACACTGAAAAAAATTATCACATCAAGTCACAATGAAACAAGTCTCCCTTAATTTTAAGGGGATGTGGCTCATTCTAAGAGCATCTGCTTAGAATGGACAAGACTTTGGGTCCAAGCCCCAGCACTGGGTTAAAAATAAAGAGAAACAAAGAGTTGCATGATTATTTAAAAAAGAGAATGAATCTCCTCAAAGTCCCATATGTAGCTGGAAGTTTTTCTGTGTCCCGCCTGGTCCTGCAGCCACTCAGACCCAAATAAACATACAGAGGCTTATATTAATTACCAATCTCATGGCCTAAGGCAGGCTTCTTGCTAGCTAGTTCTTACAACTTAACTCAGCCCATTTCTGTTAATCTATATGTTGCCATGTGTTCTGTGGCTTTACCTGTGTGCCATTACGTGCTCCTCCCTGGACGGCAGGATGGCGTCTCCTCTACCTCTGCCTTTCTTTTTCCTGCCTCTCTCTTAGATTTCTTGCCTGGCTATCTCCTGACTCGCCATAGGCCAGAGCAGCTTCTTATTAAATAGTCATAGCAAGACACATTCACAGCATACAGAAAGACATCCCACAGCACCCATACTTCCAAATTTACCAATTATAGACTGTTGACTATTTGGGAAAAAACCCCAACAATATTGTATTTAAACCGTGGTACAACCAAACTATCTGACCAATTCAATGTGAAATGCCCAGCAATTTCTTCATGAATTCTGGACAAACTATGGGTTTTAGAGACTCACATAAATTGGAGAGAAAGGGGAAGTATGGAACAAGTGCTCTCTGCACTAAGTACAAATATCTCGTATCAAACAGCAATTAAGGAAAATACTTGAAGTGCTAACCCATTTGTAGAGGGTTGGAGTTAGTTTTCCAGCGCTCACAAGGGCCAGCTCATGATGGCCTGTAATTTCATCTTCAGTGGATCCAGTGCCCTCTTCTGGTTCCTGAACTCCCATGTGTGCATACCCACTCATAGACACACCCTTATACACACAATTAAAAAAACAAAATAAATTTTAGAAAAGTATTTAACCCTCAGAATACCAGGTGAATCAACGTATACTGACGTGAGAAATGGACACTTTTGTGGTGATATAGTGTGTACCCTAAGAGATTTGCCTGAAGATCAGAGGACAGAACAAGCCACTAGATTAAACACAGAGGCCAGGCAGTGGTGGCACACACCTTTAATCCTAACACTTGGGAGGCAGAGATCCATCTGGATCTCTGTGAGTTTAAAGCCACCCTGGACTACATGAGATTGACTCAGTCTGGGAGAGAAACAGAGCCAGGCAGTGGTGGCACACACCCTTCATCCCAGTACTTGGGAGTCACAGCCTTTAATCCCAGCACTAAGAAAGTTGAGACAGGAAATGATATGGGTGGGTGGTGTAGCTAGAGTTTTCCTGCCTGGCCCACAGTCAGGACAAATCTCTCTCACCCGCCAGTCCCACAGCCGTCAGACCCGACCAAGTAAACACAGAGACTTATATTGCTTACAAACTGTATGGCCGTGGTAGGCTTCTTGCTAACTGTTCTTACAGCTTAAATTAATCCATTTCCATTAATCTATACCTTGCCACGTGGCTCATGGCTTACCGGCATCTTCACCTGCTGTTTCTCATCATGGCGGCTGGCAGTGTCTCTCTGACTCAGCCTTCCACTTCCCAGCTTTATTCTCCTCCTTGTCCCGCCTATACTTCCTGCCTAGCCAATGGCCAATCAGTGTTTTATTTATTGACCAATCAGCAACACATTTGCCATACAGAACATCCCACAGCAGGGTGGAGAAAGGTATATAAGGCATGAAGAGACAGGAAAGAAAGTCTTTCGGCTGAGAAAAGCTGTTCAGGCTGAGGAGTCCTAGAGGCAAGAGGTGGCTTGTTCCTTTGTCTCTCTGATCTTTCAGCACTCACCTCAATATCAGGCTCCAGGTTTTTATTAAAAGACCATTTAGCAATCCGTGTTATACACTGTGGCGACAGCAGGTTGGTAAATGGGCTTTGGAGTCAAGCAAGAAATGAGTGAGTCCAGAAAAATTGACGTTTTCTGTCCATGTGGGCCGGGACATTTATCCTCACCAATAAAATGAGCAAAGTAATATCTTCCTTATAGGGTGGTTGTGAGGATTAAATGAAGCTGCAGATGTGAAACTCTTGACATGGTGCCTGAATATATCAAGTTCCCAGTAGATGGTAGCCAACGATATTGACCAGGAGACTAACTCCCTCTAACAAACCTTGGCTTCTCCAGGCCTAAATTTAAATAGCAGTCCTCTGATGTTTTGTTGGGCCTTTCCTCTCAACCCAATGTCAGATTGTGTGTTTCAACTGGCCTTGTAAAGGGGCAGGGAGACGGATCAGTCAGTAAAGTGGGTGCTATACAAGCGTGAGAACCTGAGTTTGAATCCCCAACACCTACCAAAAAAGGTAAGTGTGGTGGCATGGGTCTGCAACCCCATTACAGAGTGTGGGTGGGTGAGGTGGGGTGGGGGTGGAACACAGACAGCCAAATCTCTGGAGTTTATGAGCTCAATTGGTGAGCTCCAGGTTCAGTAAGATGTCTCAAAATGGAGAGTAATTGAGAAAGAGGCCTGACATCAACCTCTGGCCACCATACCCATGCCCATATATGAGGACATACATGAACATACCCATCTCTCACACACAAATTGGTCCGGTATATTGCTGCTTGTCGATCCCATCATACTTGTATTATTTTTACTTGTTTGATTATATTTCAGTCCAACTTCTCTCTTAACTCAGAGACTTTAGGGTCTGCTGAGTTTATGGTCGTATCATCATCCTAACTGTGCCCAATGTCATCTGATCTCTCCTGCAAAGCAGGGTTGGGCCCGGTTAGTGTGTGGGTGGGAGACCACCCTGCTCGAGGGAAATGGCTAAGGTGTCTGGCTTCAAGGTAAATCTCCAGGATGCCGCACAGAATGTGTTTAGGAAATGAATGGCCCCTCGATGTTCAAGTTTTGTTCATTTCTTAGCTTATAGAAGGTTGGCATTTGGTTCATTTAAAATACGGGATTTCAGCACTGGGGTGGAGCTCAGTGGTAGAGCGCTTGCTTCCCAGGCACGAGCCCTGGGGCTCCATGCATTTATCTTAAACGACAAGAATAATGTGTTTTGTGGGTACAGGCACAAACGGTACAATTTTCTCTGTGAACATTTTTTCAGGGCGGCGACAGAAAGGCTAATTCTCAGTGTCTGAGGTGAGGGGTTGCGTGAAGAGCCCTATCATGGTTTAACCCAAAATGTCTTTGCTATGGATACAATTGCTTTGTATTCGCTAGCCGTGGACCTGAACGGGACATTGATGTTAACCACAGCTGGTTAACTGAGCGAAGAAACAGAGCCCAGCAACATGTGAGGGCCCCCTACTTGAGGGGCTGGATCTAGAATTTATGGACTGGCTTTGCCTGAGAAAGGCACAGCAGTTTCTTTAAAAATACTCCGCGCTACTTCAATAGCACGAGCACCTGTTCCGCTCCCGCAAGAGTGGAGCTATTCCTTCCTTCTCAGAATCTCTGGCGTCTGGATCCTTGCCTTCTTCCTGGCTGCAGCTGTCTGTCTAAGCCACCGACGAGGTCAAATGTTTCACGGGGGCACCTTTCTGCTGGACTTCACCAATCACCACACCCAGCTATGGGGAGAGGGGAGGCCAAATAAAGTGGCATAGCTCATTTAGACAGTGACCACATCATTGATGTCCCTGCTGACCTCTTCATTCAGCGGTGCAGTGGCACCAGGAGGCCACGCACACAGCTCAGATCGTATTTGTGTTCCTCCTGAGCCTGGAGGCTGGAAGCTGGGCAAGACAGGTCTGAGTGACGACTGCGTCGTCCGTAACATGGAAAGTAATTAGTAATTATCCTTTGGAGGGTTGTCAGAGTAACTCTGCATGTCGGAGGTCGAAGATTCGCACTCAACTTTTGCTTCTGTTATCCTTGCCGTAATTGTGCTTCCAAGGCGTGGCTGACTTAAAACGCGTTTTCCCACACGTCTGTTCAGTTCACTGGCACCGCTGCCTGGCCACCGCCACACCTCTGGTGTAGGAAAGTGAAGGGCTGCGGGAGTCCCCTGGCGTCCCAAGGCGGAGGGAAGCCCTCGCAGCACGCATGCGCGCAGGGGAGCCGCCGGCCCCTCTTAAGAGGGGAGCGCAGCGCGCAGCCCGGCAGTCGGAGCTGGCTTGCAGCCGTGCAAGGCGAACGTGGGGCGGCAGCGCGCTCCTCCGCTCCCGTAGCCCGAGGGACTGAAACTTCCGTGGGCGGCTCCCACCGGAGCGCGCTGTCCGGGACGCACCCGCGACAGGGCGAAGGAGACGGGACGCGAGCTGCAGCGGGAGCCGGGGCGGGCAGCCCGCTGGCCCCGCGCCCAGCAGCAGCCGCGGCCGCCGCCAGCCGGGCGGGCTCCGGGACTGCAGGGGAGGTGCGGACACTTGCAGCGTCCCGAGCCGTGGCCGGAGCCATGAGGAGGATCGAGCCCGGGGCCGCGGAGCTAGAGCGCGGCCGGCCGCTGCACTTGCCGCCGGGAGCTCTGCGCGCACTGCCCGCTTCTTTTGCTGCTTCTCGCTCCGGAGGTGAATAGAGGGGAGACGCACCCCACTCGCGCGGGACTCCGACGCTGATACGCTCCAGCGGCGGCCTGGCTCCTGGTGGGCAGCGGAGCGTCCCCTCGGGGATGCACAGGGAAGGTCGGATCGCACTCCAAGCCTCCGGGAACGTTCCTTCCGTGATGCCGCTGTGAAGGCCGAGTGTAGCGGGGACCCGCTCTCTAGCAAGGAGGGATGACTTAGACCCTGGCTCTGCAGCCTGGGCGTCGCGACAGAGGGGAGTGGCCCGACCGGAAGGTCCCTGGCGTCATAACTTCTTGGGGAGATCTACGTCCTCTAGAGACATCACCTCCACCCAGGGCAGTGCCATGTGGGGCGGACGCGGCTCACCCACCACTTCTTCTGGGCACCGCGCGTCGCTGCTGCAGCTGCTGCTGGCCGCGCTGCTGGCGGCGGGGGCGCGGGCCAGCGGCGAGTACTGTCACGGCTGGCTGGACGCGCAGGGCGTCTGGCGCATCGGCTTCCAGTGCCCCGAGCGCTTCGACGGCGGCGACGCCACCATCTGCTGCGGCAGCTGTGCGCTGCGCTACTGCTGCTCCAGCGCCGAGGCGCGCCTGGACCAAGGAGGCTGCGACAACGACCGCCAGCAGGGTGTGGGGGAGCCAGGCCGGACAGACCGAGAAGGCCCAGACAGCTCGGCAGGTAGGGCGTCGGCGCCCAGGTGCAAAAGGGGAGGGCGGTTGCTTTGCCTGGGCAACAGGAACCCGGATGCTTGGAGATTTTAGGAAAGAGCCTGGGAGCAGCAGAGTCCAAGATTTTTTTTTTCTACTCATTAACTTTGTGTGAAGTGGGGCACAAAACTCGAGACAAAACTCGATGCTTCTGTTCAGGGTCCCTCCCTTCCCTTCCCTGTGTCACCAGTTTCCATGGGGCTTAATTTCTTGGGACTACCCAAAGAAATGGCAAGGGCGCACCCCCTCTGGAGAAGGCCTGACGTCCTCCAAGGGTTCTCCTTCAAGGATCCACAGAAGGAAGGCAGCTCTCGGTACTGGGGAACGCGGGGGGCGTGGGGCAGCTTCCCATGGGCGACAGACGCACTTTTCACATCCTAGGGAATCCAGTCTCTTCTAGATGAGGCAGTGCAGTTTTCAGTGACCACCCGGCCTCTGGGAATCTGGATTGGTCTCCTTAGGCGGACTTGATAGATGTGACATTGGAGCAGTGCCCAGCTTTGCTCACCGAGGCTTTGATTATTTAATAGTCAAAGCCAGATTTTGAAAATAAGCCTGTCAAATAATCTGGTAGATTGCATTTCCTCGTGAGACACGTACCCTCGGTGGAGAGGCTGCCTAATCGAGTGTGTGTGTGTGTGTGTGTGTGTGTGTGTGTGTGTGTGTGTGCGCGCTATCAACACGTAGGAGTGGCGTTGCCTGAGCCTTGGCATGGGTTGTTTCTGGTTGACGGTGCAGTCTCCCGCCCCTCAGCTCTTTTCAGAGGTATGCTCTTTTTGTAAGTTTGCTGCTCCCACTGCTGTACTGGTTTGAGTCTGAAGGGAGTACTGAGTTGGGTAATCCTAGAGGAGGTACCGTCTCAACTCCAGCTCAGCTTTACAGAGTGTGTGGTCTGGGAATAAAGCCTGGAGAAATGAGCCAAATGGCCACAGTAAGGTGTCTGTTAAGTTGGGCTTGTTAATATTTTCTAAAATGTCGGGATGGCATTGACCGAAGCTGGAGGCAGCAGCCTGCGCATACTGCCGGTGTTGGGCATGGGCATCCTTCACTCCCCGGCACCCTTCCCTCTACTCCTAAACCTTCCCTTTAAATCTCCTGCTCCTTTCCTCCTTTCCAAGCCCTTCCGCAGTGAAGGACAACTTGCCCAATTAAGCCTCTGGGGGCTCCTGGTAGCGCTGTATTCTTTACCCCTGTATAGTTATTTACACTTCCAATTAAAAATCCTGGAAAGAGAACAGTTATTTCTCCCCAAAACTCATTATGTGGGTTGAGACTGGTTTCAGCTAGTTTTTGCTATCATGTTGGAGGTAAAACTTATCTGTGTTGTTTTTTGTTTACCTCTTATAACATGCGGGGGCTGGTATCAATGTAGGGAATGAAATATTTATAGCGTGTGTAGGAGAAAGCCTGGCTTTCACGGCTCCCCGTCCTGGACGTGGCCCGCAGTGCTGGTGTAAGGAGAGCCGTCCAGCTGTGGGAGCCACCTGGGCTGCAGACGGCAGCAAGCCTTCCGGTCTGCTGAAGTGACCCTGAGTGGAAAAGTGGCTCTGCTCAGCAATGCCCACTGCTCACTTGTTCCGAACCTCTGAAATACGTTCAGTTGTAAGTCGTTATTTCTCTGTGGTTCTGTGTGGTATGTGAACAGCATGACTCCCAGAAAGTAGTCTGCAAAGGGTGTTTGCGATCTGACCTTTGAGGTACGGATGGGCTCCAGGCTGCCCCATCAGAAGTGCTGGTAATGGTACCTTGCCAAGGCTGGTGGGACTCAGGAATCCCTGGTGGATGGAATAGTTAGGGAGGGCTGGGCTTGGCTCAGTGGTAGAATGCTTCCTTAGCATGTGTGAGGCCCCAAGTTCAATTCCCAGCACCTCGCACCCACTCCCCACCCCTGCCAACAAAGGGAACTGAGTCAGGAACAAACGGGAAAATGCAGGTTTCTTGGGTGTAGGTAGAATTCCGCAGAAGTGGCCCGGAGGCTTTCTGCGGGCTCCTCCTGCCTGCTGGCGTCCTCACCAGGCTGTAGGAGCCCTTGCTAACGTGACTTGCTAGTCCCGTAGAGCTGCCATTGCTATGACTCCACAAAAATGTTTTAAATTTTTATTTATTTTAAAATATAATATATAATTAAAAATATATAGTAAGATAAAGGCTTACTTAATAGTGCAGGCTGGCCTGGAACTCATTGTGTGGCCTAGGCTGGCCTTGAACTCAAAACAGTTTTCTTGTTTCCATTTCCCAAGTGCTGAGGTTAGAGCTGTGAGCCACCGTGCCAGGTTCCCGGAAGGTTTTTCTGTTTGTTTGTTTTTTATAATTTTAAAATGAAGTTCATTACTCTTCTACTTTACTAACAGACTTTTATTGTTATTTTACGGTTTCATTTTTTCAGAATAACTCAATACCCACTGGCTTTTCCCATCCTTCCCTCTTCCCCCTCTTCCTCAGCCTCTGGTAACTATTTTTCTATTCTCCTCTTTGATTAAGCTGGGTTTTTAAGATTTGTGCACTTTAAAAATATTGAAAATAAGTCTGTCAAATAACTTAATAGATTGCATTTCCTCATGAGACATGTACCCTCAGTGGAGAGGCTGCCTATTATTATTTTTATTTTTAGCCATTGTGCGTGTGTGTGTGTGTGTGTGTGTGTGTGTGTGTGTGTGTGTGTGCGCGCGCATGTGCACGCGCGCGCGCGTGTGTGTCCTTCAGGCTTGGTGGCCAGAGCCTACATGTGCTGAGCCATCTCCGCACTGCCCCAGAGTTTGTTTGTTTATTTTTCCCCTTCCATGACCGCCTATGTCTTATTTCCTATTTGGAAATGAGAATGGTTCACAATCTGACCTAAGTTACTTGCTTTTTATTGTTCTGACTATAAGAAAAGAAACTTGTTAAAAAGTAAGGGCAAAAAGAAGTCAAGGGAATGTATAAAACTTCCTAGAAGAAAAAGGAAGATTTGGGGAAGTGTAAACTCATTTCCAATTAGACCCTGTGGCTTCCTGCTAGGAAAGACTTACATGTAGGCTGCTTTCCTACTGTGGGCTCATCTAGATCAAGCCTGTCCTTTGCCAACTTGGATAGGGCATCCGGTGCTGTGTTAGGGGAATCTAAGTGGAATGATGAAGTTTAGGTTCCGCGGGCCTCGCCATGCCTTCAGGGCCTCGGCTGCGTGTTTGGCCATGGAAGTTGCGTCTTGTGCACTGGTGACCTGTGACCAAGCTGACCCAGCCCTTGTGCTTCGTGTCTGAGTGCACGCACTGTTGATGCACGCCTGTCCCTGGCCTCTGCTGCTCACCGGGTTTTAGGGTATTCATATGTGAACCATAATGCCGTGTTTCTGCTCTTCCCCCAGTCCCCATATACGTGCCGTTCCTCATCGTCGGCTCTGTGTTTGTGGCCTTCATCATCCTGGGGTCCCTCGTAGCGGCATGCTGTTGCAGATGTCTGCGGCCCAAGCAGGATCCCCAGCAGAGCAGAGCCCCAGGGGGCAACCGCCTGATGGAGACTATCCCCATGATCCCCAGTGCCAGCACTTCCCGGGGGTCATCATCCAGGCAGTCCAGTACAGCTGCCAGCTCCAGCTCCAGTGCGAACTCGGGGGCCCGGGCTCCCCCAACAAGGTCACAGACCAACTGCTGCTTGCCCGAGGGAACCATGAACAACGTGTATGTCAACATGCCCACAAATTTCTCTGTACTTAACTGTCAGCAGGCCACCCAGATCGTACCCCATCAAGGGCAGTACCTGCACACTCCGTATGTGGGGTATGCGGTCCAACATGACTCTGTGCCCATGACACCAGTGCCGCCATTCATGGATGGCCTGCAGCCCGGCTACAGACAAGTCCAGCCCTCCTTTGCCCACACTAACAGTGAACAGAAGATGTACCCTGCCGTGACTGTATAGCTTGCAGGTAACCAAGTAGACTCCTTTATGAGCAAAACAGGGCCAGACTCTTGTGCCGGAAGTCTGCTCAAGTTGGTGGTTTTCATCGATGTTCTCCTAGATGACTTCATTTGCCTCTAACCTGTAAGGGGATATCTCCAGAACAGCGTTTCTGTGCATGTTTCCTGATTCAGAATGGAAAAACACAGCCCCTGGAGTCGCCACCTGTGTCCTCAAGTATGTGACAAATGCTTGAGCCCCTAAGTGCCCTTGAGGTGTGGCTGCCAGAGTCAGAGGTTGTATGATGTCATTATTTCTGTTTGTCTTAGCTGCACAGGAGAACACCTGTTACCTCCCCTTTACCTGGGCTGTTTTTTAAATCAGTGTTCAAGACTGAATGGAGATGTAAATAATATAATTATTATGAAAAGAAGCCAGTTTGAACTCGGACACCAGTCAACGGCCTCAGTCTTCCAGAGGCATGTCTTAATTTCATTGTAAAAGATACAGTTTGTCTATTTTCATGCTTTTTTTGGGGGGGGAGGCTATTTTGTGCTTTTTTTTTTTTTTGATAACCGTGTGTAGACATCTTATTATGAAGTGATTTTCTATGTTAAAGAGATGAAAAGAAAATGTACCTATCTAAAGAAGACATTGGGAATTCTAGGAGTGGAGGGGCAAATTCGCCCCTTTTCGATGGAGCCTTTTTATTTCCTGGCTCCACAGTGGCACCTGAGAAGTAATTTGATGCTTTTTTTATTGAAATCATGAGTTATTACCTGCTATGCTCCAAGTTACTTCTAACTTTGCCGCTTGATGTGGCCTGGGGCTTCCTTTTGGTCTGCTCGGTTTGGATTCCCTTGTCTAAATAGTACCAAGAGCAGGGAATTCGATGTGTGGATGAAGATCAATAAAAAAATGCAAAGAAAGGTACTTCAGAGATGCTCAGTATAGGTCATCAGCCATCATGAGGACCTCAGACGTGAACCACTTTGCAAATCAGAAGGCTTTTTTATACTCTTGTTATCAGAACGGTCTATTTTTCCAGCAGCAGGAGGAGCTCTGAAATCCAGAGACAAGTTCTCCAAGGAGACACGACTCCTGGGTCTCTTCTCCCAGTCTTCAGCAAACTCTGCAACCACTGCCGACATTTTAAGTTATCAAATTCAAGTGGATTTGTATGTTGATTACTTATGAAAAAAGGTTTAAATATGTATAAGTAAATTTTCAACTGCTAGCAAAGCCAAATTTTGTTAAATAACTGTGACGTTTGGTCTTCTATACATTCTACCCACAGCATCTTTCATCTAGTCTTCTGGTCATCTGTCCATCGTCTCATGATGTTAGTAACAATGTTACATTACTGTTGGCAACTGGTATCAACAGAGATAGGAATCAAAGATTTTTAATAACCAAAGCAGGAGAAAATCATTTTAAATTTTTAATAAATATTTTATGGTGTGAGTTCCTGGGGGAGTGTTTTCTTTATAATTAGTCATTGTTCATAGAACTCAGAATTGTAACTACTGCTTCTGGGACTGTGAGTTTTACTTAAGCAGTAGCTGGTATCTAGGAAGGTCAGATGTATTTGTGACAAACCTTGACACACAAAAGACGGTTCTTTGGGATCTCCTGTCATCGTGTTAATGCAAAGTTTAGGAACTGGCCCTCCGTAACAACATCTCAGAAACAGCCGCGGCTGGCGCTTCCCAAGTGCTTGAGCAAGCACAGGCAAAAGGCCTTATGTACACACTTATTTAGTATCACATCTATTTAGTGTGTATGTGTGTGCAAGGGAGGGGGTACATGTGTACAGGGGCACACCTATGGAAAGCTGGAAGACAATTTATGGAAGCCAGTTCTCTCCTTCCATCATGTGGCTCCCGAGGATCAGACACAGGTCATTGTCAGCCATGACAGCAAGCACCTTTACCCACTGAGCATCTCGCCAGCCCCAGACCTGGTTTATGAATACTGAGAGCTGAGTTCCATGGAATTACGACGTCACCAAATGGTTTCATCCCACCCCCTTCACCGCAGCCATCTCAAAGGGTAAAACGCAGTCTAAATGCTCTTGCTACAAAGCTAGGCCTAAGCCAGTTTTGCCCAGTGAGCTGTGTAGGTGGCCAACACCAGGACTTGGCATGATGCAGGGTAACCTCTGCATGAAACAAAGGATGGTAAGTGCTTGCTCATATGAGATTGTCTGAGTCTCTTCCCTTTTCTGGGTGGGGAAAAAGTAAGTTTTATTCAATGAAACGGGAGTTTTTGCTCAAAGAAGCCACCTAGCCTTTCCAAAGATGACGTCACCAGAAGCAATTGCTGAGCTTTTGAATTTTGGGAGGAGCTGGAGAGGGCTAGCAGGGTGGAAGTACAAATACTTAGTTCCAGTATGCCGTTCTTGTTCTCTTGGGAATATAAAAATTCTGAACCTCTATGATGTAATTTGCATTCGGTTGAAACGTTTTACAGTCTGTCTAAAAGGAGGCTCATTTGATGATGGAAAAATAGTCACCCATTTTCTCCTGTGTATAAGCCAGCCGCTTTTCTCTAGATTTTAGGAGAGAAAAAACAGATCTTTGCGAGGAAGAAGAAGCTAACCAGCTCGTCTATTGAAAAGTGTGGGCCTAGCATGGTGGCTCAGGCTTGGAATCTCAGCACTTGGGAGGCAGTGGCAGGGGACTGCAGTGAGTTCAAAATCAACCCAGCTCAGAGCGAGACGGCTCCAAACAAGTGAGAGCTGGGCTTGTCACTGGGATCCCAGCACTTAGGGTCTAAGGCAGGACGGTTTGAGGCTCCCATGGAGTAAACAGTGAAATGTCTCAAAAGCAAGACAAAAGGTAAGTGGAAACTCCACATCTTCCATTTCTACTGCAGGGGACAGTTAAAATGTGTCACTGTCAGTCTGGGATGTAACTTAATACTTCACTTGCCCACTCTGTGGGAGGCCCTGAGTTTCATCCCCAGCATCAAAAATTAATGACATCAGCATCCAGGGTGGTCAGCCCTCCAAGATGAATGTGATTCACAGGTTTATTCTGCAGCATGTGCCTGCTTTCCCCTTCTGTTTCTGGACAAGTTCCCACAGGTAACTTCTTCTCATGCTTTGAAGATTGTAGAGTTTTATTTCCTGAGTTGAGTGACCCATATGGTCCTTGTTTTGTTATAAACTAGGATCTATGATTCCCTCGGAACAAATGGCGATCAAGCCGTATGTCCGTTAATGCCCTGGACTGTGGGAGGGAGACTGAATGGTGCTCAGAGCTGAGGCCAGGAGGGCTTTGGAGCTTGATGCTCTCTCTCCTCAGGCAACCCCACCTTGAACCAGCGCAGTGACCTTTTTTACGGTGCCAAGCCCCCAGCACGCACATGCACAGAGATTCCTTGAAGTGGGTCAGCCAACTGATAAACGGCACACACGCTTGTTTTCGGTTGCTCGAGCCTCCCAGATGCCAAGGAATAAAGTTAATGGACTTTGGAGCTGTGGCTCCTGTTAACTTAGCCTGGTCAGCCAGAATGGCATTCCTGGAGTATGTGTGTTTTACTACGATACCCGGGGCAGACCTTTGTGTGTGACGTTAGAATCAGATCCTGCTGGAATCTGGAAGGAAAGTGGGCAGAGAAATCAGACTGCCCTGTTGGTCATTTGGGCAAAAAGCAAGTCTCCAAGCATGGGCTACCTTACAGGACTTCACTGAATTACTGCTGAATCAATAATGCGTCTGTATTAATGGCTCATCAAGCTTTCTGGAAGTTAAAAAAAAATCTGGTCACTTCCTGCTTATGCTTGTTCCACTTGCTTTTTGAGTAATAGAACAAAGCTGCCCAGTGTGGTGTGGGTAAAGGTCTTGAGCAGAAGACTCAATGCATGCAGTGGGCTTGGGCAGTTTTAGACACTTAAACATATTAGGCACCCAGAGGGAGGCCAGAGGGGCCTGGACAAGGCCACAGGGGGAGAGCTTGGTACTGGACTTTCACAGAGCTTCTTTCCCATGCTTAAAAGGGCAGGCCAGGAACACAAGGAGGGTTGAAAAAAGTCCAGAAGCCTCGTGTCCAGAGGACTGATGACAGCATGGGCGGGAACCTTCCTGAGTGCCCAGTGCCATGCCAGCGACACTGTCCCCTCCCCTCTCCCCCTGCATCCTCCACACACATCGGTCAACACGTCTTTGCTTTCTCAAAACTTTTCTTCATTAATTAAGAAGCACGGATTTTCCTTTGATTTGAGTGCCTTCCAGGGATTAAGAATTGGAAACTATGGATTCTCTTCCGACAACTGTGGCAATGACTCCCTGACTGTTTGGGGCCCTGATTTGCTGCCTTCTTTCTGGTCTGTTCTTCTGTGTAGGACCATTGATCAGTGGGAACCAGAAGAAAAATCCCTAGGAAAACCCTCAAGTTACTCATGTTAAAGACGTTGGGTGTAAAACCTCCATACTGTGAAAGAATGATTTGAGGGTTTGAGACAAGGTCTTCCATGTAGCTCAGGCTAGCCTGGAACTCACTATGTAGTCCAGGCTGGGCCTCAAACTTCTGGCAATCCTCTTACTTCAGCTTCCCATGTGCAGGGATTGCATTACAGGGATCACACCAATTTCAGCTGTAACACTGTAGTCTTGCCTGAGGATTTGGCTCTGACAGTCATTTTATTTCCTACAGCTTCATCTTCCAAATGTCTTCAACATTTACACCCAGAACTAAGGGACCTAGACTCAAATCATAAATGTCCAGAGCAAGAAACTAAAAACTAATGCTCTAAAAAAACCTTCTACATGAAAAATGCTGGTAGCATTTTAAGACTGACTTTAAACATAAAACATACATCTCGAAATGTAGGGCATTTAGAAAAATCATTCCTTAATGGTATAGTTTTGAATCAAGAGACTGAACAACCATAAGCCACTGATTGTCATCTGTAACTATAATATGAAATTGCTATGTGCATATGCATGCATGCACTCACTCCAAGAGATTCCAAGCACAGTGGACTGTGTATACTTGGGTGGCTCACGCAGGACTCTTCAGTGCTTAGTATACTTGGACCCTCTCAAGATCAGGCAAAACCAATTTAGAATCATTTCTACTGCATGCCCAGTGCCTCTGATGAGAGCCTAGTCTCTCTGAACCCGAGGATTGTAATTCTCACCTCTGGGGGACAAAAGAATATCTCATAGCATGCACCAGCTGTACCCATACACACACACACTCCAGCTCCTATTTAGATGTGTTTTTATCTGTTCAATATGGAAAAATACATATATTTATGTAAACAAATACACCAGAGAAAGAACCCTAGAAGTAATGGGGCAAGGTTCTTATTTTTTTTTCCCCACTAGCCAATCAATAATGTTACATTTTGTCTGGGCTAACCTAAATGTCTTGTTTTTCAGCTCTCTGTCCCTTGGTCAGTACTTTCTCTGTGATACACCTGGTGGGCCAGTCTTGTTTCTTTACACTATGGTTTTATAACCCACAGGGGTTCTCTCATCCCTGGGTCTCTCTCTAGCATGGCCGGTCATCTGAAGCCTTCTCTTGAATGGATCTAGATTCAGGAAATCATACAGTAAGAGCCGGGCTGGGGCTGAATGCTGGAACCTTTGACTAAAATGCAGTTGTGTTCCAGCAACACACACACACACACACACACACACACACACACACACACACACACACACCATACCACATGTCCTCTCCCCAATTACTTTACATTCTGAAACATTTAATTTTATCATTAATTTAAATTTTGATTGACAGTGAATCACTTCATTTAACTTTCCTATCGAGTTAATTACATTCACACACAACAAGCACACAATTTTAACTTTCTCAACAAACCATCACTCAGGTAAATGAGTTCTCTTCCTCAGGACATGAGCTGTGCCCGAAATTGAGCCTCAGATATATGAAATTACACAATGTGGAATCTTTTGTTTTGTTTTTTTTCGAGACAGGGTTTCTGTGTACCCTGGCTGTCCTAGGACTCACTCTGTAGACCAGGCTGGCCTCGAACTCACAGAGATACACCTGCCTTTGCCTCCTGAGGGCTGGGATTAAAGGTGTGCACCACCACTGCCCAGCAGCACAGAATCTTTTGTCTGTTTTTCCTTCCACATTATGACTACTGTTGTATAGAGCAATGGTTTGTGTCTTTTAATTGTGGTGTGGTATTCCATTGTAGAACTCCTGCCTAATTATCTATATTACTGTTAATGGACATTTGGGATATTTTCCATTTTATGTGTTCAGGAACAGTTTAAACTGCCTCTAGGAGAACGTGGCATTTAGCTCCCACAGATGGTATTCCAGGGCCTGGATTGTCATATCTCAGGATGCTTGTTTAGAGCTTAGCAGCTGGCCACTTCTGACACTTAGGGCCTTTGGGGAAGCAACAGTTACAATTTGAACAGCAGATGAAGATGAGGGTGTGCTGTGGGATGTTCTGTATGGCAAATGTGTTGCTCTGATTGGTCAATAAATAAAACACCCATTGGCCATTGGCTAGGCAGGAAGTATAGGTGGGACAAGGAGGAGAATAAAGCTGGGAAGTGGAAGGCTGAGTCAGAGAGACACTGCCAGCCGCCACGATGAGAAACAGCATGTGAAGATGCCGGTAAGCCACGAGCCACGTGGCAAGGTATAGATTTGTGGAAATGGATTAATTTAAGCTGTAAGAAAAGTTAGCAAGAAGCCTGCCACGGCCATACAGTTTGTAACCAATATAAGTCTCTGTGTTTACTTGGTCGGGTCTGAGCGGCTGTGCTTACAGGGGCAAGCAGCAGACAGGTGGGACTGGCAGGTGAGAGAGATTTGTCCTGACTGTGGGCCAGCCAGGAAAACTCTAGCTACAAGGGTGTGTGTGTGTGTGTGTGTGTGTGTGTGTGTGTTTGTGTGTGTTTGTGTGTGGCTTTGGTGCTGGAGATGGAACCCAGAGCCTCCCCGATGCAAAGTAAGTGTTCTACCACCGAGCCACATTCTGGCCCAGGCAGAAAGACTTTTGTTTTGTTTTTTGGTTTTTGAGACAGAGTTTCTCTGTGTAACAGCCCTGGGTGTCCTGGAACTCACTCTGTAGACCAGGCTGGCCTCAAACTCACAGAGATCTGCCTCCTCTGCCTCCCAAGTGCTGGGATTAAAGGTGTGTGCCCAGTGTCAGAAAGTTGGGGAGAAATCAAAAACAATTTCTCTGCAAATAACTTAGAATAGTTCAAATCAAAACATATTTTTAAAAAATTCAGAGTATATGGGGAGGATGTGAGCCTCATTCAACCCTGTGAACAACTCTAAAACAATGTTACAGAAACTGTTGGGGGAAGGCCATTAAGACCCAGGGCTCAACAGGAGATGGTGGCAGTCAGTCCAGCGGGGCACCCTCACTTTAAACAGCTGCCACTCTGGACTTCCAAGTCCAGGGCACTTAACTGCATCTGATGATGAAGGTTTCAGGTCAGTCTTCAAGAATTTTACATAATTTTACTTATGTGTATGACATACTGTTAATGAATAAATAACCAAGAGCTGGCCCAAGTGGGTTTGGTGTAGGCGGAATTAAAAGGGAAGGGTTTTAGCCTCTTTAGCCTCCGTTGATAATACTGATTGTGATGGTTAGTGCTGTCAACCTGACAGGTCCCAGAATCACCTGGGAAGAGTCTCGATGAGGGATTTTCTACACTAGGTTGGACTGTGGGTGTGTCTGTGAGGGATTGTCTTGATTAAGTCAACTAGTCCACTGTGGGTGGGGCCATTCCTTAGGTCCTGAACTTTGTGGAGCAGAAATCACGCTGAGCACAAACAAGCTGGTACACACTTACTTCTGTTCCTGACTGTGGATGTGATGTGACTAGATACTTGAAGTGCTCGCCTTGCCTTCCCCACAGCGACGGACTAAGAACCGGAACTGTAGCTGAAATAAACCCGGTTCCCCTTACGTTGCTTTTGGTCAGGCTGTCTTATCACAGCCACAGAAGCAAAACTGGAACACTGACTGAGCATCCCTTATTAGAAGCATCTGTCACCAGCAGTGTCCTAGAAGGGAGCTTTGCAGCACCCTTTTAAAATAATGTTGTAAATGAAATAAAGTTCCAGAGTGCATTTTATTTCCACTTGTGGCATCATATCAGGTTTTTGAAGTTTTGGGTTTGGATGCTGGGGCCATAGATAAGTGGTAGAACGCTTGCCTAGCGTGTGGGGTCTCTGCATTTGACTCCCAGCACTGTGGACTGGAGGGAACAAGGAAAGGATGATAATGGCAGCCAGCATAGAGGAGGACCTTTGGGTTTTCAGAATAGATTTATGGAACATAGACCTGTGAAATAACACCACCAGGCTGGGATGCGGCTCGGCGGCAGAGCACTTGCCTAGAAGGCCCAGGGCCTTGGGTTTAATCCCTACATCGGAAGGAGAGGGTAAAATGCCTGTGTCGTGAGTTGATGCTGTTCCTGATGGAGTTTGAACATCTCCCTCCCAGTTTACAGGAATTCAGATGCCCATGTCATGAGTTGATGCTGTTCCTGACGGAGTTTGAACATCTCCCTCCCGGTTTACAGGAATTTGGAGATGAACCGGGAGGAAGGGAGGACTCTTCTAGATACAGTTCTTTCCTTTGACTGACACATCAAAACCTGGTGTGGCCTTTTCTCATGAAGAGGCCTGGCTGCAGTAACTTCTTGTGGGCACAAAAGGACATTCCAAAATGAAACACAGTCCAGTCTTCTGCTTTAACCAAAGGTTTATTTGAAATGGGTTTGTGCAGACATACGCCGGTTAACAGGATTGGTCAAAACCTAATCAATAAAACCAATGTACAAGGAGACATCATGGGCATGGATTCCCTTCCGGGAGGGAGACTGACCTCATACCACCATACTGCTGTCACTTAACAACCAGCCGACATTAACAGCACTGAAAATCATTACACTTCCGGAGGGAAGGAAAACTTGCACCTATCACGGATGCGCTCACTTTTCTCCTGGGAGGCAGTCTAACATGACCCCCAGCCAGCTTCCCTCTGCATGGCTAGGTGAAGGTCTGTCCTTGGTAAACAGTATTTGAGCAATCTCAGAACAGATCTAACAGGAGCCAGGGGGCACATGGGGCTTTGCTTACATGAGAGTCACACCCTCCCCATAGGCTCAGTAGGATGTGGTTCTCTACCCTGTGGCTGATCCTCGCTGTGCACATGCTGCCTTTGCTCTGGGAAGGAGGCACAGAAGGAGGAGCCCTGGTGCTGGTCGTCGGCAAGGAGGGAGAGGGAGCGGGAGGCTCAGGCTTTACATAGATTTTATGACTGGAACACCAGACAGGTCTTTACCAGCACAGGGATCTTGTTGTAATTGCCATGGGATAATTGTACATAGTTATGGGCTGTGCTGCCGGGATCTTGCTGGAAGGGGAGAAACTCCATGACCAGGCAGGTTTCCTTTTTTTTTTTTTTTGTAAATTGGTGTCTGCTGCTTGCCCCTGTAAGCACATACCAGCTACCTCTAGGAACACAGCTGGATCCAGTCCAACCCCACGGCAAGCGGGTCACCCCGCCTGCTCTTTAGCCCCCCCCCCCTTTTTCCCACACAGGAAATCAGAAACTCTTCCCTGCACAAACCTTTTATTTATCTTATTTTATAGGACCTTGCTTGTGGCCCAGGCTGGCCTCCAACTCTTGATTCGCCTGCCTCAGGCTCCAGAGTGCTGGGATCACAGGCACGTACCACCAGGAAGGGCTCCCGGCTTTTGATAAGCCCTCCTGACCTCTGCCTCCCAGGGCAGGATGGTTTGGGTGGTGATGCTGTTTCAACTTTTTTCTTTCTTCCCATCTCTGCCATAAATCACAGCCACCTGACACTTTGTTCCTGATTTCTCCAACAAACAGGTCTCCTTCCTCTCTTCCTAGCCAGGTCAGAAGAAATGCCTGTGGGCTAATCCCGTGAGCATGTTTTTCTTGGTCTGATGCCTGGGAGAGGGAGAGGAGTCGATATCTCAGGCAGCAAGAGCAAGAGCTTGTCATCTGAACAGGAGCCGGCCTGGGTGGAAAAAGAATCAGTCCTTTGTCTCCTCTCCCTGGGGATGGCTGAGGTGTTCCCAAGGCTAGGCTGGGCTGGGGGGTGGGGTGACCTCTCACCTCTTTGCTCATGGCATTGGTTCGCAGTTTCTGACCACTTGGATTTATGCTGCTTCCATACACCCTCCTCTTCCTACGCAAGAAATCACTCATCCTGGGTCAATGGGGGAAGCTTTAAAAAAGCCAGGGCGCACACAGTCTGAGACATGGTATTCGGTGAAGATCATGGAAGGGGAAAAGTTGGACATGGATGCTGAGAAAAAACGTGCACGAACCAAGGGTACCCTACACCATGTTGAGTGCTGGTCTCACTCTTTTAGGCACACATAATAGTGCCATTGTGGGAATCTTGGGCCTCTACCTCTGTTGCCCATGGGAAAGCCTTCATGATGACCTTCAATTAAGGCTAGCCTGAGTTAATATCCCCCTACTGTACGGACACAGACAACAGCCTTGAAGCCAACACAGAATCACCCACACAGCCAACTGATGTGCACTTTCTTATTTTGAGGGGCCTTTATTTTAGCTTTCCCATTGTTGTTACATTGGTTGATTGAAGCATGTTCATGCAGAGAAGATGACATCTGTTCTGTTTATTTTTTTGAGACAGGGACTTCCTATGTAGCCCAGGCTGATCTTTAATTCTTATTCGTCAGCTTCCTGAGGGCTGGGATCACAGGTGTACACTGTCACACCAGATGGCATGCCATCTTTTGATTTGACCTGATAAACCTATTTCTTTATTAAGTTATCACTTCAGATCTGTCTGGTCAGTTTCCCTGTTCAGTTTTTAAAGACCCCAGGAGATGAAGGCTACATTTCAGATGCTGAGGCTAAATCACTCCTTGAATGACTTTGGGACAATGACCCTGGGCAGTAATTCAAACCCTGGCCGAACTGTGCAGTCCTTTCACATGCTCCAAACAAAGGCTGCCTCATCTGACAGCAGAGCTGCTGCAGACTCTAGACTTATGGCTTAAGACAAAATCCCAAGACACAAATAGCTGATGGAAAATTATCTTCCTTAGGATTCAAAAGAAAAGCTCATTACTATAACAAATGAGAGATTATGGATGTTAGCTTTCTTTATTTAAAAAAAAAAATCGACCTGAAAGCCTATATATCCATTTACATATTCAGACTCTTGTTATCTAGTTTCGTTTAAAACAAAACAAAACAAATAAAAACATTCCCTCATTGGGAACATACATAGCTCAATGGCAAACACTAGCCTAGCATTCACAAGGCCCTGAGTTCCATCCCCAGCACAGCACAACAAACATATAATAAAACGCTTTTCAGGAGGCAAAAAGGGTCAGATGTTCAAGGGTAGCTTCAGCTACATAGTGAGTTCAAAGCCAGCCTGGACTACAGAAGAATTTATCTCAAAACAACAACAAAACCATTCATTGCTTCTTGATTAGTCAGTATTGATTTTCGCTGTGCGTACTTGAAGGCTTGTCAAAGGAAAGAAGATGCCCAGAGGGGCTCTGCTGAAGCCCAGGTTCACCGTCACTTTCACCAGAGCAGTCAGATACCTCACCTCTCATGTCTTTGTTTTTGTGTTTGCATGAGTGTTGGGAACTGGGGAAAGTAATACTGATCTAGAAATCTGGAATATTCTGCACCGAGACAGAGCAGACACAGCAGCTCTGCTTCCCGGAATATCACACAGTAAGTAGACCCCGACCAGCTAGGCAGTACTTCCAGACTGCCTGGTGGACTTGAGCAGGGTATTGCCTCCAATGATAGTGTGTGCTGTCCACACGGCAGTCAGCCCTATGGATGTGAGGGGAGTAGAAGAACCCAGAACTAAGTAGAAAGGATACTGGCTGTGCTGTTTACAGTTTCAAGAACAGGATCCAGTCATACAGATGAACCTTCTGTGAGCATCCTTAGCCCTAGACCCATCTTAGCTCAATCCAGAGGCAGGCCTGGAAGTGCTGACCACATGTGACCTGCCAGCCCAAGAGTCACAAACCATGTGATGGGAGTGACATGTCCCACATGACATCTCCACTGAGCTGACAGCCAGTGTGTGCAACCTAGTCCAGTCCACTCTGTTCCCCAGGGAGGGGTTGTGTGTGAGACATTCTGACCTCAATTTAAAGACAGGACAAATGACATGACTCCCCAGTGGGCCCTGCATAAATAGTATACATCACACACCATGACAGCTGCTTTGCCTAGAAACCCAATTTAGTCATTTGGCTAGGGGAAAGCTTAATCAAGACAGAAAAAAATAGAAAACATCTCTCCCAGAAATGTTTTCTCCTGCCTGTATACCTCATTATTGTGGAGACTGTTTAGTCTACTTCTCAAAAGAAGAAAATATGCTCCAGGAAAATGCACACTGTACTGTAAAGTCCAAAGACAAGAAAACAAACAAACAAAAAAACCCCAAACAAACACTTTCATTCACTAATCTGATTTAATAGCCTTCAAGTTCAAGAGTGGGCTAAGTATCTGACAAAAAGTTGGATTTTAATTCCATCTTTCCAAATGGGTTTAGTTCCCAGATGTAAATGACTAGTGGGGCCTGGGCATCCTCTCTTCCCCTCCCAACATGGCAGCCTCAGCAAAACAGATGATTCAGAAGGGAAGACCATTTCCCTAACAGACTTTCTGGTTAAGGATGGCGGGAGGAAGCACCTAGGTCCCCAAACCAGTCAGCTGGGCTGATGAAACAGATGATCTGGAAAGAGATGTGTCAACAACTCGGCATAGTAATGATGACGGTGTTTATAGGGCACCTCTAATTGACTGTTCTGTCCTTTTTACTGCTCCATGGGCTGCTCAGGAACCAAATACCCACCAGAGCTGTCTTCCCAAATCGCCACCCTACACCGTTTTCCTAAGGAACCTGCCCTATGATGTGACAGAAGACTCTGCTAAGGAGTTCTTTAGAGGATGAGATATCAGTGCAGTCCACTTGCTGTGTGAACCCAGCAATCCAGACAGGTTGAACGGTTTTGGCTATGCAGAATTTGAGGACCTGCATACTCTGCTCGGTGCGCTGAGTCTCTAGGTAACAGGAGAAATTTGAGTTGCTGATCAAGCACTGGATACAGACAGGGGTGATTATTCTTTTGGTCAAGATAGAAATTTAGATTCTAACAAAACAGACACAGACCAGATGACCCATCCTGCTGCAGACAGCTTTGAGGACTACCATCCAGAAGAGGTGACGGTAGCTTTGGAGACAAGTGTTGAGATTCAGAGCGGTATCAGGATGGGTTTCAGACAGGTATCAGGACAGCCCATGCTGAGATGTGGGGGCCAGGATGCTGTGATGACCAGGGCAGCAGAGACTATGACCAAGGCTATGACCCCAGGATAGGCAGAAGAGCATTTGGTAGTGGGTACTGTAGGGTTGGTGACTGCAGAGGAAATAGGGACCGCTATGAAGACAGGTATGACAGATAGGGCGGTCAGTCATGGAGCTCCAGGGATGATTACTCTTGGGACAATTATAGGCATGATGACGGAGGTCTGTCCCCCGACAACCCCAAACGGAATCGAAAAACTTGGAGTATTCCCAAGGAAGATGATTCCTCTGCTAGTTCCTCCCAGTCCAGTCGAGCAGCTTCTATCTTTGGAGAGGCAAAGCCTGTTGACACAGCTGCTAGAGAAAGAAGCTGAAGAGGGACCACGGAAGTGGCAGGAGAAGTTGCACCGTCAGCTGGATGAACCAAAACTAGATGGCTGACCCTGGAGGAGACACCAAGTGGGCCAAGGGAAGAAACTCAGAACGGTCGAGGACAGGAAGTGAGTCATCACAGACCGGGGCCTCAGTCACATCTGGCAGAATTACATGAGAGAGAGAGAGAGAGAGAGAGAGAGAGAGAGAGAGAGAGAGAGAGAGAGAGAGAGAGATCTCTAGAAAAATGAAACACTTAATAAAGAAGGCTGTCACTTTCCAATCTCGAAAGCTGAACTTGATTGGCCTCTAAAGGTCATGCTAGCCCCTGTGTGGGTAAAGCGACACTCGAACCTTCCTACTCCATTTCAGAGGTCAGACACAGAGCAGCAGTCCCGGACAAGTGACAGAGGGAAGCAGCTCTGTCTGGCTCAGCCTTGTGAGGAAGGACCAGCAAGGAAAGAAGAAAATAAAGTAGATGGGATGAGTGTCCCAAAAGGCCAGAGTGGGAACCCCAGCTGTGGTCCTGGAGATGGGGGGAACACAGACCACTGGAAGGGGTTGAGGAAAGATTGCAAAAGGATCAAGACGCTAGAGCTGCACCTGAGCCAAAGTGAGGAGAATTCAGCCTCCAAGCTCAGTTCTGCAAGCAAGTATGCTGCTCCCTCCATGGATGGTAAAGATGGGAAGGAGGGAGACAACCGCACTGAGTGGATTTCCATGTCCTGTGCTGTCTTCTAATCTCACTATCTACCCTGGAGCATTCAAGGGCAAATTAAACTAGTCTTGCAGATCCTACTTTGCCCCTTCTAAACACTGTCCTGTCTAAACTTTCAAATATGTCCGCATTCTTTCAAAACCTTGTCACTCTGGTCATCTCCTGTCTCAATGACAGTGGTAGCCTCCCCAAAGCAGTCTCTGTAAGTCACACACCTGATCTCACAGGCATTTTGTCTTGGCCACCAGAAGCTGCGGCCTGAGGCATCACTGTTTTTCTCAAGTGAACCGGCTCTGGGGTGTCTCTGATTCCTGCCCCCATGACTTTGTTGTTCCTGAAGCTTCGCATCTCCCCCCACCCCCACTTAGAAGGCAGAGTACTTCAATCGATAGACTTGGGTGGTGAATAGGGGGTGTGTAAATGAGGAGAGTTGAGTTGGAGGCTGTCAGCCTTGATGGGGTGTTTTCAGGTTTCTGTAGGTTTCCTTCACGGAAGCCCGTGCTAGTGCTTGGGTTTATAATGTGACCCATGCTGTGAGGTTTTCTACTTAAGAGGGTTGGTTTCGTAGCTTCCCTCAAGAATAAAGGCTAATGCAAAGAACTGTTGAATAAGGTCCTGGCTTCTCTCGCAACACAGTAGCCTGGCCTGTCTGCATTGATGTGCCCCTTTGTAGAGGTCAGCTTCAAAGATGGCAGGTTTCCTTGTTGCAGGAAGTCAGGGTACTACGGACAAATGAGACCTTGGTCGTAATGTGCACGCTCTAGGTCGGCTGTGCAGGAGTGTTGGTTTAGTGGGCTGCAGCAGTGGGCACAGCAAGGACTGCTCCAGCGGGCTTGACTGGCTGGTAGCTAGGAAGTGGGCTTTTAGAGAGAGACCCACAGATGACCGGGTTTTTAAGAAACCGTTGGTTGAGGCCAGGCGGTGGTGGTGCACTCCTTCAATCCCAGCACTCAGGAGGCAGAGGCAGGTGCATCTCTGTGAGTTCAAGGCCAGCCTGATCTACAGAGTGAGTTCCAGGAAAGGTGCCAAAGCTACACAGAGAAACCCTGTCTTGAAAACAAAACAAAACAAAAAACCCCAACAAAACAAAACAAACAAAGAAAAAAACCCGTTGGTTGTAGACAACAAAGAGGTCATTTGCCCTCTTCAGGTCTCTTTCTCTTCCAGACAGTTGCATCTAAAGGAAAGCTGCTGTGCCCCACTCTCCTACTTGGCTCCTCTGTTAAAATAAAAGCAGGGGCCAACTTATACTTTCCTGAATACATGCAAAATTTGGGCAGAAATATTTTCTAGGAAAATGATTTGTAATCTGTAGACATTACTTGGGGGATGTCTTGAGTTGTAAAATCCCATCCTTAGGGTTGAGGGTTTGGTGTGGGATTTTTCCCTCTTCAAATCAATCTAGTCTTTAAAGTTGAAAGAAACAAAGAGAAAGAATGAGAGAAAGAAAGGAGAAAAAAAACAGAAGAAAGATAAAGAAGGAAGGAGAGAGAGAGGGAGGGAGAGAGAGAGAGAGAGAGAGAGAGAGAGAGAGAGAGAGAGAGAGAGAGAGAGAGAGATGTAGTTGGAGAGCCTAGGGCACATCCCGTTGGTTTTCCTCTTCTCTCCCCAGTTCTGCCCCCACCTCTCTGGATAAGATGGACACCATGGCTGGCCCCACTGATCTGAGGCACACTTCCTGCTGTTTCTCCCACATGGGACAGTCTGCCAGGATTCCAGCTTGCTGGGCACACTAGATTTTTCACTCGCCTCAAGGAGCAGAGAGGTCACCTCCAAGATTCTTGCTAATTGTACCATCCTGCCTCCCTTCAAACCATGCCAGTCACTTCCTAAGTGAGAATCAGTTTTCTTACTCAATGCAAATCATCACCAAGGTTTTTCTTCGGTGCCCACCCATCTCTGATGTTCCCAAAGTAAAGGATCAGGAAGCAAAGCATAGCATCTTTTCTTCCCAAATGCAGCACTTTGGACCGCTCAGCCAGCCCAAATGCTGCTTTCTTTCTGAAGCTAGCACACATCCCTGGTGGTATGGTACCACTTTACCTAGTAACAGGTGCCCAGAGGTATTTACTTTAAGCCATCCAAAATTCTGGTTTGGCAGCCAAAATAAAGGGAAGAGAGAGGCCCACATTCTCTGAGAGCCCCCAGTTCTCACATGCAGGTTTAGGGCATCCAGTTTCTGTTCCAGTTCAGAGTAGGGGCCTTCAGTGGACAAAGCTGGGAACTGACACTTTCCTTCCTTGTTTTTATAGCCCAAGCCACTGTTCAGAAAGAGGCCCTTGGGCCTAAATCTTGCTGGATACAGAAAGGAGACCACATTAATATTTTTAACAGTTACGATCTTGAAAATATTTGGAATTGTTTCCATTAGAAGTGTATGGTGCTGAATGGGGTAACTCACACCTATAATTCTAGTAAGCTGGAGGCTGAGGATTGCAGAAAGTTTGAGGCTAGCCTGGACAACAAAGTGTGTTCAAGGCTAGATTGGCATACAGTGTAAGACTTTGTCTCAAGAAAAATCAACCAAACAAAATGTCTGCAGGAGCAAGGTCTGGTTTCTGCTATAGTGTACACGGGCTGATCGCTACAACTGTCTATCAAGAGTAGGACTTGAGAACTTCCATGTCCTCCGGGTCTGCCTCCTGAGTCTCGTGTCCTTTGTCAACTTCCAGGGAGATCTGGGCTCCTCTTCCTCATCACTCTCTGCCCTGTGCTTACCCGGCCCCCAGCTCACCCTGGCTCTAGAATTTCAGAGTGACAGTTTTTTTTTTTTTTCTCTTCAGTGCACAGACACCATCACACACTCACTTCCAAACTGGAGAAAGTCTAAAATGTGCTTCGAGCATCCAGGGAGCAGGGACCGACTCTGATTCTGAGAGGCTGCCAGAGGCCCAGCTCAGGAGTGGTCTGCAGAGCCTGCCACCCTCACCCACAGGATCCCATCAGAAAAAAGACAGCTGAGTATTGAGGCCAGGTATGGGACAGCCACTTCTCTTCAGTTATGGAGCTAACGGGCAGCAGTGGGGGCAGGGCAGGGTGGGATGGGGCTGGGCGAGAAGAAAGATTCTGACACCCATATCTGAACGTATAGAGGAACAAAGACACACAGAACCTGGATGGGTGGCTACCAGCTGTGAGGCACCGCCCCCAGGGGCCAGCTGGACAGGTCTGAGGACAAGAACCCAGGGTAGCAACAGTAAGACCGGAGGCGTGCACCTGAAATGGGCGCGGAAGGCATGGAACGCTGGCTGATTGCCTTGCTGGGACTGGGGCTTGAAACAGCCAAGGAAATGTTCTCCAGTTTGTCCCTCAACCGTAAGTTTTTCTGATTTCACCGCAATCAAGAAGTTTACGCCAGCTTCACACAAACGAAACAGGAATCCAAGTGAGTGAGCAATCTGCAGAAAGCGAGGTTCGTATGATCTGTGCATGCACCGAACAGGAAGTGGACCCTGCTCCAATTACACAGGACTGGTCTCTGGTAACATAATGCCCCTTTCCTCTCTCCCAGAACCACTAGTATTGATGTTTTAGCACTGGTGAAACATGGTTTTTAATTTCACACCTCACAGAGCCCAGCTGAATGCTTCATAACAACGGAAACGTTGGGCCAAGCGCGGCAGACAAGCTGGGAGAATAGCTTCCCCTGATGCCTGTGTCCTGGGACTGCAAGGGGACAGACAGCTGCTAACAAACTGGTCGGCTAAGGCCACAGAAATGTGTTTTCTGGTGTTGGGCTGCGGGTGCCAGTCTCTCCTGACAAAACTGTGTTAACACTGCGTGCAACAAACTGAATCTCTTTCCCTGGAGCAAAATCGCCTCTTATTTCTTCCTTGACTTCTTTTTGGTGGTGTCATAAGCACGAACTATTTCCTCCTGGGTAACAGCTCCGTGTTCTTCTTGAGAAAAGGCATACCCGTCTACGGAGAAACATACAGAAGTGGATTAGGGAACATTCTAGACCAGTACTTCCCAACCTTCCTAATGCTGCGACCCTTTAATTCAGTTCTTCGTGTCATGTTGACCCCCCAGCCATGAAGTTATTTCATTGCTACTTCATAACTGCAATGTTGCTGTTATGAATTGTAATGTAAATATCTGATACGCAGGATATTTGATATACGACCCCTGTGAAAGGGTTGTTCAACCCCAAAGGGGTTGTGACCTGCAGGTTGAGAAATCCTGTTTTAGACTAAGGATGAACTACTTTCCAGGAAGACCCCATTGAACTGTGTGGTCACGGGACTTTCTTAGCCGTGGATACAGAGACCCGAGATGAAGATACCTGTAAAAGCAAAGGGGACCATGATCAAGAGGGATTGTGGTGGCAGGAGGCTGATCAAACTGGGGTGGCAATGGCTCAGAGTGGAAGGAGTTCGTTTTCTGCAGCTGTGAAAAATACCATGGACTGGGTGCAGTATAAACCGGAAGTCTGTTTGGTTTACAGTTCTGTAGGCTGGGAGTCCATTGTCAAGAGGCAGTACCTGAGGGGGGGGGGGGACTTCCTTACTGCAACACAGCATGGGTGGGGGGGGTGACACCCCACTCCTGGATGACAATATTAGTCCATTGGCTGGACTAGAGCCCAGGTGGCACTATCACCCCTACAGCTCCCCCCTTAACGCCATCACCATAACAATTACATGCCCCCATGCATTCTGGAGGACATTCAAACCACAGCAAGCAGGTTTTCTAGTTTGCAGGGGGGGGGGGGGGCTCAGTGTGGAAAATGTAAACATAGGCTAGTGGGCCATGCCCCACTACCCTACCACCTATCAAGAGGCACTGTCTCCCCATCTGCCTGATGCTGTTTATGAGGCCCTAAACACGTCAGGAAAGACACCCCTGATAGCGAGGCCGACAAAGCACAGAGGATGCTTGGAGAGCTCCAGTTCATACCCTGGGCTGCTTCTGGCTGGTAAGCAATTGAAGTGGGTTTGTTTCTGAGTGACTGAGGAGAAAGAACACAGGCAGGGCAGATTTAATGAATGGTTTCATGCCCACAGAAGGACGGGGCCTCACAGGGTAATAGCAAAGCAAGTATCACAACCGCTCTGCACACCGCGTGAAAACAGCTCACGGACTCCGCCCACGGACAACGCGTGCTACTTCAAGGACGGGCCCATCGGCCAACACATCATACTACGTTCCCACTTCAGAGTTGAGCAAATTAAGGCCCAGAGACCCCTTTTACTTGCCCAAGGTCACAGAGCTGGGAAGCAAAGCTGGGCAGTGTGTGACCTGCTCACTTCTGACAACTCCTGCTGTGGCCGAGGGACAGAAAAGTCCCGTGGCTCAGTTCGATGTCCTGGCCAGAAGACAGCACAGTCCCATCCTGACGGTCCTAAGGCACCTCTGTCTTCCTGCTTATGATTTATCAATAGAGATGTCTGATCACTGACGCACTATTTTTAAACTTTTTTTTTTCTTTTTTTGCAGTATGGGGCATGGAACCCAAGGCCTCCTGCATTCTAGGCGAGTGCTCCCCGAGTCATACCCTTGCCCTCCTGCCATATTCTCTAAAAGGAGAAAAAGAAATCAGACAAGGTGAGCAGCTGTCAGCTGGTTGATCGGGTCGTTAATTTCCTCAGCTGTCTGATGGAGAGTAAAGTCTGCAGGGTGTAAAGACACAGTCACCAGCAGGGCAGGCTGACAGAAGGCTGTAGGGGAAAACTCCATGGCTATTGTTCATACCCAGAAGCCCTGTCCTCAGGTTGGCTTCCTGCCCTTCAGGAGAAGGAGCCTGCCATCTACTCTCCAGACAGCCTAAAGGGATTCCTATGCATAGTGGGCAGAGACACTGGGGGTCCCCTGAGGACACAGGGTCTGAGCAGTAGGGAGGATATTTCAGACTTGGCAGTCACAGAAGGGAGGATGGAGTCAGGGAGCCTGAGAGAGCAGGGAAGGTGGGAAGATCAACCAGTGTGAGCGCAGACTGCAGAGACGCACACTCCTGCCTGCTGCCCATTTCCAACAAAAATGAATCCCCTCAAAGAGGAAGTCCCACCGTGTGGGCGTCATAGGGAAGCAGATCCCAGTGCAGTGTGAGTCCCGTAGCCAGGCAAAAGCCAGATGGAGGCATCCAAGAGAGAGGCTTCGGCAGGTGCTTACCGTGCAAGCTGGGAAACTGACTTTGATCCCCGGAACCCACATAAAGGTGGAAGGAGAGACTGACTCGACAAAGTTGTCCTCCGACCTCCCCATACACCTGGGACCCCCCAAAAGTGAATAGAGGCAGAAGCCAGCCTGGTGGAAATTTCCACTGAAGCCATGCCCTGCCCTCAGGCCCTGGGGACAGGGGCTTCCTCATGGGCTGTCCATACAGGTGGCCTTGCTCCACACATCCTGCTTCTGTGAGGTAAGGAACAAAGGCTGTGTCTCATCCCTGTTCCCAAAGATCTTCTAGAAATGGGCCATGGCTTGCTGGAGCTCTCTGGGAAGGGGAGGGGCTGCTCCCCTCTGCCTCCTCTCTGTCCAGGTCCCTGCCCTGACCACACACAAGATGTGCTGTGTGAGGCTATTTACAGCAGTCCAAGAGGATAGCCTTTTCCTTGGAAGGGTTCAAAGCAAAATCTAGTTCAAAACACACACACACACACACACACACACACACACACACACACACACACACACACACACACACACATATACACAAGACCCCAGTGTGTCCTTTGGTACCAGGATTGCTTTACCACAGTTAAACTTGACAATGTTCATTCTCTAGTCTTCTAACAAGGAATGTTTTGTGTATCTTTGTCCCAGCAGCTGCCCCTGGATGGGATATACCGCTGGAATGATGCCTCTGGCTTCCTCTGTGGCTGTGGCTGCTGCAACCCACCAGAGGAGACCCTTCAATCTGAAGGAAGCCATTGTGACCAAGGGCAGGCTTCCCAGAGAGATTCTAGAAATGAGGTTAGAGGGGAGAGGACCACTGTGCTCCCTCTAAGAAGATGTCATTCTTAGTTGGCTGGGCATCTATCTTGGATGGTGACCAGATGGCTGGAGATCCAGGGGCACAAAAGGGAACTTCTTGTCCTTGCTCGGCCATTACTAGACTTTGTAACCTTGGACTCTTGAAGCTGTCTGGGTTTGGGTTTGCTTCTCTTTAAGATGAAATGGCCTGGGACAAGACATGCCCTAACTCTAATAGCTCCAGCCCTTCCTGAGGGCTCCAGGATGCATCATCCTTGAAAACTGCTAAAACATTTTAGGCCTGATGATAGTGTGTGTGTGTGTGTGTGTGTGTGTGTGTGTGTGTGTGTGTGTGTGTGTATGTGTGTGTGTAGGGTGTGTACTGGCTGGTTTTGTGTGTCAACTTGACACAAGCTAGAGTCATCAGAGGAAGGAGTCTCAGTTGAGGAAATAGTTCGATGAGATCCAGCTATAAGGCATTTTCTCATTTAGTGATCAATGGAAGGGCCCAGCCCATGGTGGGTGGTGCCATCCCTGGGCTGGTGGTCCTGGGTTCCATAAGAAAGCAGGCTAAGCAAGTCCTGTGAAGCAAGCCAGTAAGCAGCTCCCTCCATGGCCTCTGCATCAGCTCTTGCCTCCAGGATCCTGCCCTGTTTGAGTTCCTGTCCTGATTTCCTCTGGTGATAACAGCAATGCTGAAGTGTAAGCCAAATAAACCCTTTCCTCCTCAACTCACATTTTGGTCATGGTGTTTTGTTGCAGCAATAAAAACCCTAACTAAGACGGGAGCTTATGGATTAAGGTTATGAATGAATGAATGAATGAATGAATGAATGAATGAATTTTAAAACATAAATATTAGGGGGCTGGAGAGATGGCTCAGAGGTTAAGAGCACTGGCTGCTCTTCCAGAGGTCCCGAGTTCAATTCCCAGCAACCACATGGTGGCTCACAACCATCCATAATGAGATCTGGGGCCCTCTTCTGGCCTGCAGGTGTATATGAAGACAGAACACTGTATACATAATAAATAAATTTAAAAAAAAACAAAAAACCCATAAATATTATTATGGTTATCAAAACATAGGTAAATGAATAATTAAGACTAGTTAGGGGTATCCTTTTGGACATCCAACTCTGGAAGGGTCTTGATCTCATGGCTATAAGCTGTCCTGTGGACTGCCAAGGGGCTGCCTCAGTTAATTCTAGGTGAGGGTTTCTAGGCTTCTCTTCAGAGAGACAGGTAACGCTCTCATCCTGACCTGTTCTCAGGTGAGCAGAGTGTGACCAAATGCCCTTCTTGAGGCAGAGGATGGCAAGTTCAAGGCCAGATAGGGCAACCGATTGAGAAGCTGTCTCAAGATGGGAAGTAAAAAGAGCGCCGGGTCTCTTGATCAGCGGCAGAGAACTTGCCTAGTGTTCGGTTCGGGTCCCTTCTTGAGTACAAAACAGAAGGAAATCAGGAGGATGTGCTGATAGATTTATTCTGGAAAGGCGTCAGGGTTTCCCTGGCAGAAAGCATCTCCTTTTAGAAACCAGGTCTGATGGGAGTTAGGTTGGCACAGGTCCAGGGAAAAGATAGGCCCCAGGGTCACTCACTAACTCCACCTGCCAGCTCTGACCAGGAAGCAGGATTTCTTTCTAGGTTAATCTGGGGGACATGTAACTGGTGTTTGCATCCCTATGGGGAGTCAGGGAGACGCCCCAGCTCTCTGCATTTCCCACTTGAGTTTATCTTCAGGGAGTCTTGGTGGGAGCTGGGGACTGGAGGAAGCATTCCCTGACCTAACTTGGGAACCTCCCTGGCCCCTGCTCCTAGATCCTGCCAGAATCTATAGAGGGCTCATGGGAGGGGCAGAGATAGAGTGCTGTGTGGTTTGTTCTTTAGTTGTTTTGTCTTGTTGGGGTGGAACATTTGGTGAAGTTGATAAAGTCATTGCCCCCCCACCCCCGGCCAAAACTTTAGAATAAAATTCTTACATTCTATTTCTTTGACCCTGAGATCTGATAGTAGCTTAACAAAAGTAGAGTTTCAGAGACGATACAAACCATGGTGCTGATGAGGAAATTTAGATTGTGTAGGAAATATTGATCTCAGTTATTAGTATTGTACACCGGCAGTATAAATAGTATTAAGAGCTGTGTTAGTCTATTTTTTTTTTGTTACTATAACGAAACATTCAAAGCTGAGAACCTTATGAAGTAAGAAGATTTATTTCATCTCACAGATGTGGAAGTTAAAGGTGGAGGGACCCTATCTAGTGGTGGGGCCTGCTGGCAGGGTTCCAGGTAGCACAGGACAGCACATGGCAAGAGACAGGGATGTGCACGTGACTTCTGGTCTCTGTCTCTGTCTCTCTGTCCCCTCCCCTGATACAGTCACAGGATTCAGTTATGAGGGCTCTGCCCTGAAGATTGAACCTAATTCTAGTCATTGCTAAAGATCCTGACTTAATTCAGTTCTGTCCCGTATACAAACCGTGGTGACAGAACAATGAAGATCAGAGCCTCTTGGGTTTCCAGGGAGGATAGGGTCTGTGACAGCAGGGCAGTTGGAGGGGGACATTCCACAGGCCTTCTCAGAGCCAGAGCTCTGAGCACTTGAAAGTCTCATCAGGAATGGCAGGAACAATCTAAGTTGTTTCTAGTACTACTCCTTAAGGATTGAAAGTTTTTTGAGATTTTATTTATTTTTACTTTATGTGTATAGGTGTGTGTCTAAATATATATCTGTGCACCCTGTGTGCCTGCAGAGGCCAGAAGAAGATATCAGAATCCCTGGGACTGGAGTCACAGATGGTTCTGAGCCACTGTGTGAGTGCTAAGTATTGAACCTGGGTCTTCTGGAAGAGTAGCTAGTGTTCTTATCTGCTGAACCATCTCCAGCCCTCCATTAAAGGTTTTTTTATAAATGTGGTATGGTTTTAGAAGCTGTCTTATTTCTTGCATTTGTTCAGTAGACTTTCTTTTTTGACTGTCAAGTGTTGACTTAAGAAAAAATATGAGGTTGTTAAGATAGTTATAACTTTCCCCTAGATAAATGTGAACATATGTAATTGTTTTTGATACTGAAGAATGAGCCTGGGCCTTGTGCAGGCTGAGTAAGGGGTCTGTCACCAAGCCCTGTCTCCAGGCCTCTTTTCACTTTTTGAGACAGGATCTCACGGAGTTGCCCAGGCTGGCCTTGAACTCACTTTGTAGTTTAAGCAGCTTTGGACTTGTGATCCTCCTGCCTCAGTCTCCTGGTCCGGCTGTACATATTCTTTCTATGATTACTCCAAGACTTTCGTTGGGGAAGCAGTGTGGTCCACAGTATGAATGCATCCATCCTGAAGGCTTTATATCCTTCATGTGATAATGTGTAAGGACATCATATAATTGTATTTTCTTTTTCCAGAGGAAAAAGTAGAAACTTTGAGAAATACATACACTATCCAGAGCTACTCAGCTAACTGAAAAAAAAAAAAAAACCCACAATATCTAGCACTTACTGAACTCTTCAGGCCCAATGTTCTTCTAGGCCCCTATAAATATGATCTTATTTTATACCCCCAACAACCCCAGCTGGGTTCTCACATTTTACAAATGCAGACACAGAGAGGTAAAGTGGCGGGACAGGAACCTGGTGGTGTGAGTCCAGAGGGGGACCCAGCGGTGTAAGTCCAGAGGAGGACCCAGCGGTGTAAGTTCAGAGGGGGACCCAGCGGTGTGAGTCCAGAGGGGGACCCCTGCAGTGTGAGTCCAGAGGGGGACCCAGCAGTGTAAGTCCAGAGGGGGACCCCTGCAGTGTGAGTCCAGAGGGGGGCCCATGAAGTATGAATCCAGAGGGGAACTCCTGCAGTGTGGATCCAGAGGGGAACCCTTGCAGTGTGAGTCCAGAAGGGAACCCATGCAGTGTGAGTCAAGAGGGGGACCCCTGAAGTGTGAGTCCAGAGGGGAAACCCTGCAGTGTGAGTCCAGAGGGGAGCCCATGAAGTGTGGGTCCAGAGGGGGACCCCTGCAGTGTGAGTCCAGAGGGGTACTCCTGCTGTGTGAGTCCAGAGGGGAACCCATGAAGTGTGGGTCCAGAGGGGGACCCATGAAGTATGAATCCAGAGGGGAACCCCTGCAGTATGAGTCCATAAGGGAACCCCTGCAGTGTGAGTCCAGAGGGAAATCCCTACAGTGTGAGTCCAGAGGGAAATCCCTGCAGTGTGAGTCCAGAGGGGTACTCCTGCTGTGTGGGTCCAGAGGGGAACCCCTGCAGTGTGAGTCCAGAGGGGAACCCTTGCAGTATGAGTCCAGAGGGGAACCCCTGCAGTGTGAGTCCAGAAGGGAACCCCTGTAGTGTGAGTACAGAGGGGGACCCCTGCAGTGTGAGTCCAGAGGGAAATCCCTGCAGTGTGAGTCTAGAGGGGGACCCCTGCAGATGGCTGTCCTTGGAGGATCCCATCAATCTTCATACCTTGACTTCCACCTCACACTTCCAACATGGCTATGACCTTGACAGAACCCATGGCTATGACCTAGAAGCTCAACACAGCACTACAACCTGTTGTATATGGGTGCTCTCTGATTGAGCTTCTGCTTTTCTGCCCGCAGGGCTGTGCTACACCCCTCCTAGGGGCTGTGGGAAACAGAGAGAAGGAGTGGAGTGCTGACAGGTCACATAATGCCACCCTTCTCTCTCTGTTGTGGAATATTATTTTAAGATGTGTTATATTTGTTTGTGCTTAGAACATTTGCTTAATGATGCAAAGATGTGTTGCATTCTTTTATGTTGCATTTGTTTAACTGTGCGAAGCTGTGCTACTGTGCCTGTCTAAAACACCTGATGGTCTGATAAAGAGCTGGCTGGCCAATAGCAAGGCAGGAGAAAGGACAGGCAGAGCTGGCAGGCAAAGAGAATAAATAGAAGGAGAAATCTGGGAGCAGAAGAAAGAGTAAGAGAACAAGGAGAGGAGGACACCAGGGGCCAGCCACCCAGCCACACAGCCAGCTACAGAGTAAGAGTAAAAGTAAAATATACAGAAGTAAGAAAAGAAAAAGCCCAGAGGCAAAAGTAAAATGGATTAATTTAAGAAAAGCTGGCAAGAAATTAGCTAAGCTAAGGCTGGGCATTTATAATTAAGACTAAGCCTCCATGTGTGATTTATCTGGGAGCTGGGTGGCAGGGCCCCCAAAAGAGCCAAAAGAGTCAAGAGCAAAAACAACGAATAATATTTTGACGCCCAACGTGGGGCTAGCGTAAAAGAAAATCCAACAACATCTCTCCACTGAAAAAGTCTCCGTTGGCAGGCAGAGCTCAGCTGGACTGCCCAGCGGACTATCAATATGTGTTCTTTGTGAGCACCCACCTTCAGCTCTCAGAAAGTGTTCTTACTCTATTAGGTGTGACAGCCATCCCTGGCCTGGTTGTCCCATTCACCCTGCTGCCTGCCACCCACTGCTACCCACTGTCACTTACGACTGACACACTGCTGGATGGAGCCTGCTCGGAAGAGGGTTGGGGGTGTCTTCTTGCTGAGTCTCTTGATCAGACGGTCACGCTCGTTCATCCTGCAAGAGAGCAAAGAGGGTCAGGGGCCAGGTCATCTCAATACCTCTCTGAAGGATCCAGATAGCTTCAGACTGAGAGAAGGGGCAAGAGGGGCCTCCTGTGTTCAGAGGGTTTGTTCCTCTCCCAGAGGCATCAGGCATAGTGCATATGCTCTTTCGCACCAGGCAGATATCTCTCTATTTCCCTCCTCCACCTCTCTCTCCATGTTGAAGCCAATCCCAGAATGGGATTGTACTTGGAGACTGGACCTGCCATAGGGTAAAATGACAGACAGATGGGCGGTGATCCTCATAAAGAAAGGAGATCAGGACTCAAACACACACAGAGGGAAGTCCATGTGAGTACCCAGGTAGAAGGCAAGAGAAACTGCAGACATCAGCCCTTGGACATTTCCGGTTTAGATTAGGCGCTCACTACCAAGGGATGTCAGTCTTCCCTGAGGCACATGGTCAAAGCAGCTGGAATTCTGAGCAGACAAGCCCGCCCCCTGCCACTACTGTTTGCAGAAAGCTCAAGCGCCTAAGCGCCTAGAGCCCGAGGACACCTGTGCTGATCACAACCCCTTGTGTGTACCCAAAGTACAAATAACAAAGAATAGAATTGACTTCATTAAAATTAAAAACTTTAAACTGGGCACAGTGGTGCACACCTGTAGCTCCAGCTATCTGGAGGCTGAGACCCAGGTATTACTTCTGCCCAGGAGTTTGATGCCAGCCTGGGAAAAACTGATAGCAAGATCTGACCTAAACAAAACAAAACAAAACAAAACAAAAAAACAAACAAAAACAAGTGGGGCTGGAGAGATGGCTCAGTGGTCAAGAGGACTTGTTGCTCTTGCAGAGGACCTAGGGGTCAATTCATTCCTTCAAATCCTTTGTTCATGTTTCAGTTGGATAGTTTTATCTTTTTGCTGTTAAGTCATAGTGGTTTCTCATGTATTCTAGAATCAAGTCACATGATGGTTCATAATCATCCATAACTGCAGTTCCAGGGGATCTGATGCCCTCTTCTGGCCTTGGACACCATGCATACACGTGGCACACACACATACAAGCAGGTCAGACACTCACACACAAAATTTTGAAAATCTAAAAAAAGTTAAAATACATCAAAGGACATTACAAAGGAGCAAGGAAGAGGCAACTACAAAATGGGAGAAACATTTGCTAATTAATCATATCTGATAAGGACCTGGTATTTAAAACACATAAGTAACTCCTATGAATGAACAGCAAAAAGATAAACAATACAACTGAAACATGAGCAAAGGACTTGAACAGATTTTTGTACAATGAAGACGCACACTGGTCAACAGGCACATGCCAAGACAGCCAACATATTCACGGCTGGGAAAACGCTAATCAAAATCATAGTGAGTCACCATTTCACACCCACGAGGATGGCTATAAAAACAGCAAACAAAACAAACTTTCAGAAAAAGATGAGGGTTGGAGCAGGTGTGGAGGAACTGGAACCCTGTTATATCAATGATGGGACTACAAGATGGTGAAGTCACTGCCCCTCAGGAAGCTAGTGTAATCAATGAGATCACTGAGACGCTCTACTCCTAGATACTCACTCAAAATAACTGAGAATGGAACCAGAAGATACCTGCATACCCACACCCACACCAGCATTATTCACAGACATCCAAGGGGGAAAGCACTCAAAATAACTGAGAATGGAACCAGAAGATACCTGCATACCCACACCCACACCAGCATTATTCACAGACATCCAAGGGGGAAAGCACTCAAAATAACTGAGAATGGAACCAGAAGATACCTGCATACCCACACCCACACCAGCATTATTCACAGACATCCAAGGGTGGAAACCAAATATCCATCAACTGATGAATGAATAAAAAAAATGTGGTATATCCATTAAAAGGAGTATTATGTAGTCTAGAGGAATTCAGTCACGATCCATGATACACACAGATATACTCTGAAAACATACCTGGTCCCAAAGGCTGGGCATGAGTATACAAAATTTCCAGAGTAGGCAAAAGTGGGGAGACAGAAAACCACAAGCTGAAGCTGCCAGTGGCTGCAAGGCAGGGGGTGGGGGGGGTGAGGGGGCGGGGCGGGGCGAGGGGGGGGGAGAGTGAGTATTTAAAGCATGATGGTTCCCAGGGAGAAGGACATGTTCTGAGACACTGGCAGGGATTTGTAATATTGGGAACACAAATGCCACAGAACTGTTGGCTTTAAAAATGACAAATTCTAAGTCATATAAATTTTACCACAACTGAACACGGGAAAATTCAATTTTAAAAGAGGAGAAGCTGGTCTCGACTCAAGACCAGCTCCCTCCCATCCTCTAAACTGCTGGCATCTTTGCAGCTCATTTCTCTGGTTCTGCAGGGGTGTTGAAGTAAAGTGTTGTCTTTGATTATCCCCCCCCCCCCCCCCCCCCGTGTCGTGTGCTGGCACAAGCAGGTATGCTAGCTGGGATCTACTGGTAGGGAAGGTGTTAGGTAAACATAAACTCAGCCTAGCTATGAGCTACGTGCAGCCTTGGTGCCTCCCCAATAATGACATTGAAACCGAAGCTCCGACAAGTTCTCACAAACAGGCCCTTTTTAGAATCTGACATACCTTGGAGGAGGTGTTATGTTCCTGTCCTGGAAAATAAGCAGTCTGAGGAGGAAGGAGGGGCATGCTGGGAAGGGTTGTGCTGGAGAAAAATAAACTCTCATGTCCGAATTTCTCCTAGGAAGCACTCCCCCTCCCCCACACCCAAACTCACATAAACCTGGAAATTGAGCTGCCTAAGAGCAGGAGTGCAAGACAGCCCGTGACTACTGACTGGTTTTTATCTCCTCCCCTACCCTCCCACCCCGGGGAATCCCTCATCACAGAAGATGCCATAACAAAACTCCTAAAAGATGAGTTTTAGAAGGCCATCTTTAAGTTAGCAGCTGCTGGGCATTCTTGAAAGCATGTTCAGGGCTTGCCTAATAGGCTCAAGACCCTGAGTTCATCCCCAGCACCCTTAAAAACAAAAACCAGCAATAAGAACAAAATGGAGATAATTATGATAGGTCTCTTCCCTTAAGGCACAGCTAGACTCCCACCAACTCAGAAGGCACTGGAAAGTATCACTTGCCTCAAGTGATGGCTTGTTCCTGGTTGTCAACTTGACTACCTCTGGAATCAACTAAAACCCAAAAATGTAGGGGCACACCTGTGAGGGACTTTTGCTTAATGTGAAGTGTGAAGATCTACTTCCAATCCAGAGCTTTGAGGTGGAAAGACAAGCCTTTAATCAATATCTTTAATCTAGATGTAATCTGGGCCACACCTTCTGCTGGCAGTCTATGTAAGGACATGGAAGAAGGAAGCTTTCTCTTTGCCTGCTTGCTCTCCCTCTGGCTGGCAAGTCCACTCCTTCACTGGCACTAGAGCCTGCTTCTTCAGGATTCCAGTGTCTACTGAAGACCAGTAGAGATAGCCAGCCTCCTGGACTGAACAACTACTGGGTTCTTGGATCTTCCATTCATAGGCAGCCATTGTTGGATTAGCTGGACCACAGCCTGTAAGCTACTCTAGTAAATCCCACATATATGTTCATTCTCTAAGTTCTGTTACTTTAGAGAATCCTGGCTAATACACCTCAGAAGCAACTGGAAGACCACATCTAAAACTGAATTTGTTGTTTCCACAAAACCCATTCTAGCAAAGAGCTGATCTATCTATTATTTAGACTGCAGCTTTAGTGCTTAATGCTCTGAAAAAATTTCTAGAACCTTATCTGAGTTGTTTCTTCCATTTCACCCTGTTGAGCTTAATACAATCTCTGCCAACACACTCGTGGTTTTGTACTGTGTTATTTATATGCACAGTGAGGTTCCTCAGAGATTGTCTTCCTGCACTTCTCCCAGGATCCACCCCAGGCTGAGCACAGAGCACTCAGTTAACAATATCAAGTGTCATGAACTATGCTGGGGCTGCCTGTCCTCTTCTCATATGTACCTATGATGTGATCATGCCAACCTTTGCCTCTTCATGTGTCTTCTAGGACAGTACCAAGCTCAGGCTGTAGTAAGTTTGCCAAAGTGGCCCAAATAAATTCCTCTGTATTATTCTTTGAAAACCATAGAATATCTATTGTCTCCCAGAGAGGAGAGCTCATTCCAAATGTAGAGAATGTGAGCAGAAGCTTGAATTTGTGGAGAAGAAACACTGTATTTTCTTTAAATTTCAGGTTGCACAGAGTTGTAGGAAGCCAGTGTAACTGAGGGTGCAAGAAGGTTAATGGACAATTTAAATTCCATTCCAAAAATAAGAAGGCAATATTTCCTGTCCTCCATGGACTCAACTCCCATCTCAATATCAGAATTGGGGTCTGGGAGGCAGAGGCTGGCAATGGCATGCTGCTTACTCTCCTTGATCCCAGACAAGCTGTTGGATGGTGGGGACTAAGGGATGCTTCTGAGGGCTGGAAGAAATCTTATTTTCTTACAATGTAGTTTGGGCGAATTCCTGCCAAAAGGAGAATTTGTCTAAGAAGTACAATACCAAATGGGTAAGCAGAGTAAAGGGGGAAAAACAGATTCTCAGTCTCAGAATAGGTGGTAGCCGGCAGTCTACATGGGCAACAGTCAGGGCAGAGGTAAAGGCGGAGAGGCTGCGGGCAGAATGCTGAGGGCAGCATCAACAGAAGAGGGTAGGGTGCTCCCGGCATCTGACAGTGCTCTGTTGTGCCTAACAGCTGGGATGGTAATGGGAACAAACTGTAAGCTCAGGAGGGAAGTTCAAGAGGAAACGCACCCTGACAGCACTGTCACCCTGTCCTTGGCTGTCACCCTGTCCTCGGACCTGCAACTGAGACAGAACTGGTCAGATGGCTGCTCCTCAAGACTGGAATCATGTCATCAGAACGTGTTAGCTCAGAAAAATGACAAAGACCATGTCAAGTCCCTGCTTGGAGAGACTTGAAGAGCGGGAAGTGGAAGGGATGCATTCCACTACTCTTGCTGAGTCAGGCTGAT